AACTGGGCCTTTTGCTTTGAATTCAATTCCAGCCCAAAGATTACAACAAAACCCAAATTTTAAATATAAAACCTAACTAACTAAATATATATATATATATATATATATATAAGGAAAGAAATAGATAATTAGTCTAGAAAATGAAGAAAAATAAAAATAAAAATAAAAGCTCTACCTGAAAAATTTAAAAATGAAAATGTAAAAATAACATAATAGGTTGCGTAAAAACCATTGAATCAAAGAAAGGTTTTACCCTTTACCCATTCACTTTGAAAGTAGTACCCCTCTCCAGATCTATTAGGTCAATTATTCCGTAGAGGTATACTTTGGCAACAACAAAAGGTCCGGTCCATCGGGAATTCAGCTTTCCAAGAAATAACTTTAACCTTGAATTGAACAATTGGACTTTTTGGCCTTCTGTGAATTCTTTTGGAAGAATCTTTTTATCATGCCATTTTTTGGTATTTTCTTTGTATAGCTTAGCATTTTCATTTGAAAAATTCCTATGCTCTTCCAATTCACAAAGTTGCAAAGTCCTTTTTCATCCGGCCTCATCTAAACTCATGTAAGTTCCTTAATGGCCCAATAGGCTTTGTGCTCTAATTCCACAAGTAAATGACAAGCTTTTCCAAAGACCAATTTATAGGGAGACATACCAATAGGGGTTTTGTAAGCAGTCTGATAGGCCCATAACGCATCATCTAACTTAGAGGCCCAATCCTTTCTATGTGGTTTGACTACTTTGGCCAAAATCCCTTTTATCTCCCTATTTGATAATTCAGCTAATCCGTTGGTCTAAGGATGGTAGGAAGTTGCTACCCTATGCTTGATGTCATACTTATCAAGAACTTCTTCTAACATGTTGTTTATGAAGTGAGTGCCTTCATCACTAGTTAAGGCACGAGGTATACCAAATCTAGTGAATATGTGCTTTTGTAAAAACTTAACAACTATTTTAGCATCAATGGAATGGCAAGCCATGGCTTCCACCCATTTGGACACATAGTCCACAGCTACCAATATGTAGGCACAATTACTGGATAGAGGAAAAAGTCCCATAAAGTCTATACCCCAAACATCAAATAATTCTATTTATAGAATTCCGTTTAAAGACATTTCATTTCTTCTAGAGATATTTCCACTCCTATGACACTCATTGCAACTTTTTACAAAGTTTTGAGCATCATTGTGCAAAGTAGGCTAGTAGAATCCTGATTGTAAAACCTTGGATGCTGTCCTAATTTCTCCAAAATGTCCTCCGCAAGATCCTGCATGGCAGTGCTGTAGAACTGATGGTACTTCTTCTTTTGGGATGCATCTTCTAATTACCTGATCTGCACAAATTTTAAACAAGAAAGGGTCATCCCATAAATATTTCTTTGAATTATAGATGAGCTTCTTTCTTTGATACTTATCAAATTCCTTGGGAATAATCCCACAAGCTAAGTAATTAACAAGATCAGCAAACCAAGGCACTGTAGTATGATTAAGAACCAAAATTCTTTCATTTGGAAATATTTCACAGATGTCACTACTTTGCACTGGTTTGTTTTGTTTTTCCAATCTTGACAGATAGTCAGCCAGTTGATTATCCACCCCTTTTCTATCAATGATTTCCAAATCAAATTCTTGCAAAAGCAAGACCCACCTTATTAACCTTGGTTTTGCATCTTTTTTAGAAATAAGGTATTTGGTGGCAGCACGATAAGTATGAACAATCACTTTGGTTCCCATCAAGTATGATCTGAATTTTTCAAAAGCAAAGACCACAGCTAATAATTCCTTTTCAGTAGTGGTGTAATTGATTTGAGCATCATTAAGAGTTTTTTTTGCATAATAAACAGGATGAAAAATCTTTTTTCTCTTTTGACCTAACACTTCCCCAACTGCCCAGTCACTAGCATCACTCATTATTTCAAAGGGTTTGGACCAATCAGGTGTTATTACCACAGGAGCAGTGACCAATGCCTCTTTTAAAATGTTGAAAGCATTTATACAATCTTCATTAAAATTGAAAACATGGTCATGCTGTAATAATAAACAAAGAGGTTTTGATATTTTTGAAAAATCTTTAATGAACCTCTTATAAAAACCTGCATGTCCTAGAAACTTCTGATCCATTTTGCAGTTGTTGGTTCAGGAAATTTTTTAATTACCTATAACTTTGCTTTATCAACTTCAATGCCTCTTTTGGAAATTAAATGCCCTAACACTATGCCTTCTTTTACCATAAAGTGACACTTTTCCCAATTCAAAACCAAATCTGTTTCTTCACATCTTTTAAGACTTTTTTCAAGGTTTTGCAAACATAGGTCATATGATGTCCCATATACTGAAAAATCATCCATGAAAATTTCCATGGAGTGTTCTAACATATCTGAGAAAATAGACATCATACACCTTTGGAAAGTGGCAGAGGCATTACAAAGTTCAAAAGGCATTCTTCTAAAAGCAAAAGTTCCATATGGACATGTGAAAATAGTCTTTTCCTGATCATCCGATGCTATGGTAATCTGATTGTAATCGGAGTAGCCATCTAAGAAACAATAAAACTCTTTTCCTGCTAGTCTATCTAACATTTGGTCTATGAAGGGTAATGGAAAATGGTCTTTATGAGTGGCTTTATTAAGCCTTCTATAGTCCATACATATCCTCCAACCAGTTACTGTTCTAGTAGGTATAAGTTCATTGTTCTCATTTGGTACAATAGTGACTCCTCCCTTTTTGGGTACACATTGCACAAGACTGACACATGTACTATTAGCAATAGGATAAATTATGCCAACGTCAATCCATTTTAAAATTTCCTTTTTAACAACCTCCTTCATGACAGGATTGAGCCTTCTTTGAGGCCCAACGGAGGTGAAACCTTTGTTTTCCAAAATAATTTTGTGTTGACAAATGGTGGGACTTATCCCTTTCAGGTCAGCAATGGTCCATCCTATGGCCTTGGTATGAAGTTTATCGCAACAAGTAAAGTGAAGAAGCTGTGGTAACCTGTAACAAGGCTTGACTTGTTGCTCAGGGTTATAGACAAGAAGAATGGATCAATTATGATGAAACCTTCGCACCAATGGCTAGACTCGAAGCAATTTGACTCTTTCTAGCCTTTGCTGCCCATAGAGACTTCAAAGTCTTTCAAATGGATGTAAAGAGCGCTTTCCTTGATGGAAAACTTCAAGAGGAAGTTTATGTTGAACAATCTCCAGGGTTTCTTGAGTAAATGTATCTGCTCTCTCTAAGGTATGTATACTTATTCTTTTCTAAAACTTAAAACTATCACTGAAGTTTTTCTTCTTCTGTGATCAAAATGTTTTAAAAGTTTGTTTCCATGATTCTTTCTATCGCTGAAGATTTATAAGTAAGTATATATCCTTTATACTTGTCTTTTCTTAAAATCAAAATGATCACTGAACCTTTCTACCTTCAGTGATTCAAATGTTTTTAAATGTCAGTTTCAGTGATTCTCTTATCAATGACACTGAAGCTTTTTTATGAAAATATATTCTTCCAAGTTATTTTCATTTCTTAAAACAAAACCATCACTGAAGTTTTTCTTCTTCAGTGACCAAATGTTTTAAAAGGTTTTTTATTCAGTGATTGTTCTATCATTGAATGTGACTTTTGAAATTTCTTAAAACCTTTACGTTTTAAAAGAAATAGTTAATGATCTGTCTTAATGACGATATTCTTGTTACCAATACGAAACGCTTTGAGACACGCAAAAAGGTCTGACATACGCGACCTGCTTTAACTTCCATCCAATCATGGATGAGAACGTGCCATATTTCTCATCATGGCATTTCCTCAACCGTCGTATTTTTCTCTGTTCTATTTCTTTTCTCTTTCCTCCTACCTATAAATATGAGATCTCTTGCCTCAAATTTTCTTTACTCTTACAAAAATCTTTGACGAACCTCTGCTAAAAAGACTTTGCAAGCAAGAACTCTCAAGAACACTTAAATCCTTTGACCTTCTTCAAAAGAACTCTAAGGTCGATAACCTTCTTTACATTATTGAACTGTTCTACTCCTTCTAAATGAAACTAATTTTGAGATTCTAAGAACCTTGTTCTCTTAAAACACAAACAGACAGATTAATAACACATTCTTATTCATTGTTATAATCTGGTTTCAAAAACTCTATTCTACTTGAAAAACCCTAATATATCATTTGTGGATTTTTCAAAAGAAGTTTTGTTGTTCTAAAACTTAAAAAGATCACAATCAATCTTTGACTACTAATATATAAACCATTTTTCTTCTCTTATTTCTTAACCAAAAACAGAAAATGGCTTCTAAGAACGTGAACTTTACCGTGGAAGACATCTCCTTCAAGGCCAACAACCACATTGCCTTGTTGGACATCCCCACAAACAAAACAATCTACGAGGATGCTGTTGCCTTCCTACGTATGTCCCCAATCGCTAACGCTCTCAACCATGAACCTATCATGGTTAGGGGAGGCCCTTCAGCAGTTCTGGATGACTACTGAGGTGGTGCAAGAGGAAGACAAGAATGGTCATCAGGTGGAGAAAATCTTCTTCACATTCAACAGGATGACTATTAGCTTTGGCGTGACCACTCTAAGGCACGCTCTTCGATTCCCAAAGGGTCCCTTCACCAGCGAACCCTCTACTATTGATATCATCGCCTGCCTCGATGATATTGGATACCAATGGCCAATGAAGAAGAACTCCAGTGAGCCCCTCAAATTCCTTTCCAAGATCGAGAAGAACCGCATGTTAGCGGTATGGCAGTTCCTATTCTCGTATTTCATCCAGAGCATGGGTGGAAAGACTGGTGGCTAGGATCAAGCTTCCAGAGTCGCCCTCACCTTTGGTATCTCAGGGATCCAACACCATCCAATCAACTTTGTTGCTGTCATCTTCGACGACCTGGCACTTAAGGTGAACAAGCGTCAGAGAGAGAAAGTGTTGCCCTACACCAGGTTCTTGTCCATGGTCTTCGCCAAGATCTTTGGCTACAAGTACTCCAAGGATGGTAACCTTCCTGTCTACTGGCTTGGATCCAAGATTTTGGATCACAAGCTCAGGGATGGAGATGTTGCACTATCTTCTATGGTGCAATACTCTTCATTTCCCCCTTCTCCTTATTCGATGGTTAAGACAAGAGAATTCTCCCAAGTCTAACCCAGCCACCACAACCATTTCTTCTAAACGCCCATCTCAACCAACTCTTAGTTCTCCTTCAAGGACCAAGAAGGCCAAAAAGGGGACTACCATATCTTTGGCTGTGACCTCTCAAAAGGTCCCAGCTATTGAAAATGGCCTTACCCCCAAGGCAATTTCAGTTAGCCATCCAAGTTCTTCAGTGATTCCTGATATCACTGTCATATCAGTGGCATCTCTCCCAACCGCCTTAGTGTCCCAAATCATTGAAGGTGTGAATATCAGCGCCGCCACCGCCTAAACACTCACTTTCAGTCTTAGCCATCTTTTCCTCCCCTCCTTTGTTGGTCTCAACATGTACGGTGAGTCATTTGTATAAGTCCTCCCTGATGATGAGACACTCAACACTGGACCTAAGGTAGCTCATCTCGAAGATCCTCAACATACTGGTGCTTATCCTCATGAGTGCACCATGGAGCAAACCAGCGTTAATCCTTCAGATAACACTGAGGACCTCTTAGGTCCATCTGAGGCCCAGGCCAAGAACGAAAAGAAGTACGATATGGTAATGGATGTGAAGCTACTCCTCCCAACTGTAGAGACTGTCTTTATCAAAATGGAAGAAGTCGATAAAGACATGTCTTTCAGGGACGAAGTTGCTGCAGACCTCTTAGCCATCAGGACTTAAGTCCAAGACGTGAAGAGCCAGCTCTCCTCTCTCCAAGAGGCTGTTAGAGCAAATGTTGAGGCCATCGTTGCTCTCACGAGCAAGGCCGATGACGCATAGGCCCAATATCTTCAGCAGGAGGTGTTACTAGAACAAGTCCTAGTTGCTCTTCGTCAACTAGCACCAGTGCTCCCTCCTTTACTGCTGATGACCGCACTCAACTTAATGAAGCACGTGAAGCGACGAACAGCCTATCCAGTGCTCTAACAAGGCTAGAGGAGATTATGGTTCTCCAGATACAGAGTGTTGACGAACTCTCTAGCTTATACTCTCAAGCCATCACCAGATAGGGGAAGAAAAGGTCTGATGCTGGACCATATTTTGCTGCTCCTACTGAACCTGTTGCTTCAGCAACCCATGAAGCTGAAACTGAAGATCCCAGAGCTAAAGCTGATGGTGAGGTTTTCTGTGATATCCCAACCTCCAGTGAAGCTCCTATAGTTGAGGAAGTTGATGCCATTCAAGCTGAAGCTCGTAACGATGGCCTTCCCATCACCTCTGCACCTATTGCTGGTGATGTGGAAGATGAAGATGAAGACAATGATGATGAGGAAGGTGATTCTTCTGACCTCCCTAACTCCGTAAGCGGCTTGGATGATGACGATGATGATGACGACGAAGAAGACTTCATCATCCAGTACCAGCATCCCCCCACTGCCACTAAAGGAGTTGCCCTCAGGGATTCCGCATCCCAGGGGGAGCAAAGGGGAGAAGAGGCCGCACCAGAAGCGAACTAGGCCCTAAGGCGAAAGGCAAAGGCGTCGCTGAAGAAGGGAACCTCAAGGTATTATTCAATCTCTTGAACCCTTATATGAAGAGTACTCAAGCCAAGTAATCGTCACTTCCCTATACCAACTTGCTATTCCCTCAACTACCTGCAGTTGGCTGGAGGAATGGGTCCCTGAGAACCAAACCCCCAGCACTCCTACCGATCAGCAGATGACTCAGCCCAAAGAGTCACTTGACCAAACTAGTGTAAAAATTAATCTTCATACCTCTAGTTATGGTGAGTTTGACTTCCTGACGAAAGCTGAAAGACTCAAGGCCCTAAGAGCTGAGGAAGAACTTGCTATCCAAAAGAAGCAGACTGAGGACAGCTTAAAGCTGGCCAAGTCTCTAGCTGCAAAAATTCTTCCCAAGAGAAAATCCAAAAAGATGGTGAACGTTGTCCATGCCCAGGCTAAGCTTATGTCTATTGTAGAGGTTGAATGTGAAAAGAACCTGAAGCTGGCCGAACGCGACAAGTGCTGGAGTGAAGCTAGTATCAACAAGAGGATCAAGCCTCACCCGATCAAGAGCGTCAACATCAGCGGACGAATGAAAGACGGTGGGATGCTGCTCTCCATGCTCATCACCAGGGATAATCTCGAGGTCGTGACTGAGTATCCTTCCTACCTTCGTGAATACGGCTATAGAGAATTGCTGGAGATCCAACAAGCCATTCAGTGCTCAAGTCCAGACATAAGCCGATTATCAAAGACATCATTAGCGAGCTGATCAAGAAGGTATCCAGGTATGTCGCAGTCCCTGAAAGGCCTATGCTGAAGAAAGTTGGAAGAAGAAAAAGGCCTTCAAGCCCTAATGATGGACCATCCCTGAGGAATGAACATGAAACAAAGTTCTCCTTAGATGAAGTCCTGAAGGTTCGAAGAAGCCAGACATATCTATGTTGAACCTATCATTGGCAGCAAAGGGTCCCTATATACCCAACATTGTGCATATGAAGCCTAAGTTAGGATTTATTTTCCTTGACTATGATTGCGAAGTCAGCTTCCAAAGAATGTCTGAGTTGCATCTCTGCCCAATGGAACATCTTGCATATATCCGATATTGGCTGAACGATGACATATATGGTGAAATGATGGACATCGGGATCAGAAAGGAATTATGACGTCTACATTAATCTGAACAACTTAGATTACTTATTTCTTTTGTACTTTGTTCTTTCACTATATAAACTATATTCTATGTCTACTTCCAATGATTAATCTTATTAGAAATGTACCGAAGGCTTGTAATATTTCCTTTTGAAATTAATATAAGTATTTTTGTGCATCATTGAAAAGAGTAACAGGGACACAAGTCTATGAGTTCCAGTATTACTCTTACTTTCACTGACAATCTATAAGTCAGTGAACATGCTTTCAGTTTGAGTTTCCCTTTTAATTTTCTTAAATTTGTAACTTAAGAAAATTTTCTAAGTAAAAAGTGACTCACCGAAAAAAATCCCAAAACAGTTAAAAGGGACATGTACTTTATATGTAACTTTTCCTTACTGTTATTTGATAAGACAACTTTCTTTATGTTGCTTTGTTATCATCAAATAGAGGGAGATTGTTGATCCTCTCTCAGTGATTTGATGATAATCCTTTTTACCTTATACGAAGTATTTATGTATCTGTTCTTCAGTTCCAGCGATCATCACTGAGTCTGTTCAGTGATCGCTGAGAACATGTAATGTAAATCCATCAACGACAATGATACTTCAAGAAGACAAAACTCACACCAAAGAACCTTCAACGAAAGTCCAAGACTGAAGCTGAAGATTAGAGATTGGCGAGTTCGTGATCTAAAACGGCATTCAGTGATTACAACGTAGTCTACACATGTGTGAAGAGTGCCTAAGCCTCAATGAATGCTGAAGAGACCTTTAGGTTATTCCAGCATTCAACGATCAGAAGAAGCTTGTTGAGCATAATTGCTTTTGTCTTGTCCTTCCACACACAAAGGATAAACCCATACCCTTTCTAGAGCATAGTACGGTACGGAGCCGATTAGTTGACTCTACTACCCACCAACTCCATGAAAGGATGTCTACTCATGAATAGACTTTGGTACTATTCACTGTAGCAAAGGAAAAGTGCTTCTCTAAAGGCTTGACGCATGTTCAAACCCTATTGCATTGCATTAAATGTGCATTTAATGCAATGGGTATAAATAAATGTGTTCTATCTCCATGCAGAGATATCTTGAACCTGAGCTTACATTCATACGTGAAAGAACACACATCTAAAGAACACATTACGCGTATCTTCAAAAGCAAGTTAGAATCCCTTTTAAGTATTCTAATTAGTTCTTACCCAGAAAGAACTTACTTTCTTCTAAGTCTTAAACAACAAATCATTTCTCTTTGCTGCGAATTAGTGTGTAACTTAGATTGTTTAGATAGGTCATCTTTATCTTATATTTCCACAAACAATCTTGTAAAATCTGTATTGATCCTTCTTTATCAATATACATTTTATATTTGAAAAGTTTACAGTGTTTGTATTCCCCCCCCCCACAAAATGTTATACACATCTTGTAGACCCTAACGGGACTAACATTGACATTCTTCTTGGTTAACTTGGTTAGAGATGCAACAATTCTTAAAAAGTCTTGAATAAATTTCCGATAATAGCCTGCTAACCCCAAGAAAATAGGGATCTCGGTAGGAGTTCTCGGTACTTCCCATCTTTCAATTGGTTCAATCTTTGCAGGATCTACTTTTAACCCTGCCTCATAAATAACGTGGCCCAAAAACTGTACTTCTCTTGACTAGAACTCATATTTGGACAATTTAGCAAATAACTTTTTTTTCTTCAAAAGTTCGAGTGTTGATCCCAGATCTCTCAATAACACTAATATTTGAGTTATGAATAACCTAAGTATGTCGTGTGGAAGAATAAAATGATGAACACCCAAGAACAAATATGAATATTTAGGAATATACTTTGAGTGCCGAAAGATTCACTTTATTCAAATGATTATGTGAGAAGCGTAACCGATTACAAAAGAGTTAATGCCTATTTATACTTGAAAGCTAATTAAGGAGAGTGTTATCTATAGAAGATATTTAGCAAATCTCTTATGGAAAGGAAAGCTTATCTAGACATGGAAAGTAAATAAAGCAAAGTAAATGTTTGGAGAATTCAGCTGTCGATTAGTCATCTCCAACTGTCTTCTATGGGGCGTTGTTCAACCATGTCTTGATGTCTTCTTCATCGGGTGCCTCTGGTTGAACTGTCGTGGAAGACTCCAAGTGTTGGTAACCAGAGGGGTTATGAAGATGCGCAGTTCATCGCATCTCTGGTCGTTCATCGGCCTTCTGGTTGTATTGGACACTTAGCATTTTTACCTGAAAGTCTTCCATCGGCCTTCTGGTCTTTAACACTTGTTGTTTTTCATTACTTTTATAAATATGAGTTATGGGGTCTAACAATCTCCCCCTAAGTAATGAAAAGACAAACATTGGCTAATCTATGAACATTCAAAAGATAAGTATAAGACAGAGGCTAAACTAAAAGAAAAACATCCTTTGCCAAAAAAATTCATTGGACTAGGTGTTGGATGAATTCTTACACAAGTGATGGAATGAAAATGAAATTACATAAAATACTTCATTCATGGTCTCCTTGAGATATCTTCCAGAAATACATCATCAGTCCTCTAAAACGAATGACTGTGGAGATCTCATGAATGAGTTGTTGACCTTCTCTAATCGACATGTGAGGTCTGCCCAATCTTTCTCTGATGACATTCTGAAACCATTCAAGTGTTGAGGTTGAATACTTGAAGGCCTCAATCAGTCTAAAGAATTTATTCATACCAAACTCATTCTTGAACACCAATCCAAGTTCTGGTTGAGTCAAGACTGAGGCATATCTCTTCTCCTGTAGGCCTGGGAAGTCTTCGTCTGGAGGAGTACAGGAGAGTCTTTGAATGTCAAGTTCAAGAGCGATTTGAAAGTTGCTCTTTGCTCTGAACTTTACCAAGGTCTCCATCGCTTCTACTATCGCTCGATTTGCTATCCCAAATATGATCCCTTGATCCTGTCGCTGAGCAGTGTGTCCATATAAGTCAATCAAGTCCCATAGGTTGAGATTGATCATGTCATTATCATTGAAAATGCAGACCATCCCATATGCTCGCTCCACGGTGTACTCGATGTATTTGATTTCTCGATTAGTGAAGGTTCTCATTTTGATGTCAATAACCGTCTTGATTCCATCGTTCGAGAAGACGACTTGATGCGGGAAGGTCGTCTGTCTTACGAACCTGTGGCGCAAGAGATCCATTGACTCTGGGGATAACATGGGAGGATTGAGGACCAAATTTTCATCGCGATCATGGTAAAGGTACTGATGGATATTCTCCATCATTACTGGTTCTCTTGGTGGCATCCCTGGACGTCTCCTTAGTGACTCGAAGTTGGCAATAATTTCATCGACTATGCCTTGAGGAAGATGCCTTGATGAGGAAGGAATGTTCGCTAGCACCTGTGATGGTTGGGTGATGGATGGTTAATGTTGGGTGATGGGTGGTTGATGTTGGGTGATGGATTGTGTTTGGGTTGTGGGTTATGTATGGGTTATGGGTTGATGTGATGGTATGGCTTCTGGTTGTGAGGGTTCAGGTTGGGTTGGCTCTTGTTGAGGTATTTGTAGTTCAATGGGCTCTGGTTGGGTTGGTGGTTGTTGAGGTAAGTTGGGTTGGGTTATGATGGGTTCTGGTTGAGTGGGTATGGCGATGGAGGATTCTATATGAGGAGGTGTTGGTGATGAAGTAAAGGGTTGGTTTATTTCTGGATGAGGGGTAGGTAGGTTTTCATCGAATGAAGAACTCACCTCGATTGGTGAGAACTCATTGGTTTTGGGTAATAGCTCTTGGGTGCTAGCTATAGGAACATATACATTATGTACATCTTCAGAGGGCTGAGCCTCTGGTTCCCTAGCTTGGGTTCTTTGGGAGGTTGAGG